CACACATTACTGAATGTATGGTTTAGGGTTGGTAATGCTCTTTCAGTTCATAACATGTAAGTTGTAACTGAAATTGAAGCAGTTGCCTCTGCATTCTGAGCCACTGGTCCTCCTTTTTTATTTCATTAACTTATCCTTGAGTCCTCCTTGTGTATTGCTTTTAAGTTTCAATCAATTCAATGTGTTCATTAATTTATATTTGTATGCAGGTGGAAACTTAAGTGTGGAAAATAGCTATGGAGGTGTGGAACTTCAAGAGTTCAAGCAAGTAAAGCAACTGAGTGGGTTGGTTGAGATTCTGAGAAATGGAAATTGGACATTTGGATAATTGGATGCATTATTTTTGCATACTTGGAACTTTGGAAGTTGGAACGTTGTGTAATTATGTAATTTGTGCACACTTCTATCATATTCTGTGGCAACTAAATCTGCATTTTAAAATGTTCTGTCAAAAAAAAAATTGGTATGTTAATCTGCTTTTTTGTATGTATTCTAATTTTGTATGTTAATCAAATAATGTGCTGTAATTTCATTTTTTTTATTTATTACTGTTATAAATATTAAACCGACTTAACCCGAAACCCGATCCGAACCCGCCCAACCCGAATTTCAAGATAACCCGAAATTATAAAAGAAAAAAAAGATAGGGTAGGATATCCAATTTACCCATCCAAAACCCGACAGGGTCTTGGGTTTACCAACCCGCCCGACCCAAACCCGACCGATGCTCACCCCTAATTATATGTTTCTTTAGTACGAGTCTAATTGAAAATTTGAAGATAGTAAAAAGGGATTTTGCATATCACTTTTTGAATGATATTGGACTTTGCACTTCATTTAAAAAAGGTGAAATCCATGTAAATAATCCATACTTCTTGACATTCTACAATAATAATCCACACTTAACAAATTGATAAAAATAATCTTAACCCTTAAGCCACTTCACAAAAACAGATGACAGAGCGGAAGTAACCGTTCCGTTGTATTCCGATCCCTAGCGTCGCTGCTACTTCAGCTCTCTTTGTCGTACATCATATTTTCTTTTCTTCTTCTTCCAAATCTACATTTTTCATCTCTTCAATTCTTATGCAACCGTTCTTCAGATTCATCCATCTATCTGCTATTAAATGGTTGCCCCCGTTCTCTAGTTCCTCTTGGAAACCCTAGATCCAAATATATTAATTTTCTGCAAAATCATGAGTTTTTACAATTCCGAGGAAGCTCATCATTAAAATTCATAACGAAATTGCAGCAACTTTTTAATAAATGTATCTTTTGCTAATTGAAACCATACAAATAATTTTGGAACTCATTTAATAATAAAATGGATATATACCTGGTGTGTGGCGTCTGGCAATAGCAATTTAGAGGCAGTTTGTGCCCTGTTCATGAATTAAACTTCAGCACTATTAATCCTATAATTACCATGATTTTGTTGTTTGTGAAAATTAGTGATCATTCACGCTGCAAAAAGGCTAATTTTGTCAGGTTTTTTAAAATATCCACAGCTCTCATGTTTTTTTAATTGAAACATTGAACTTCCATGGCTACAAGTGGCTCTTAAGTCTCATGCTTTCATGTTTTCGAAGCTTCAGGATTCTGTTTCACCTTTTCTTAAGTTTTGACTTGAATGTTTTGAATTCACAGGAAAAGTGAAGTCATTGCAATAACTTTATTAATCATTAACCAAGATGTTTGAATAAGATGCCATCAGAAAAGAGAATGTTCGAAGGCATAGTAGAAGACGAGTATGGTGAGGGGGATGAAGCATTCTCGTTAATCACGAAATGAAGACATAGGATATTTAGGAAAAGTGAAGTCATTGCAATAACTTTATTAATCATTAACCAAGATGTTTGAATAAGATGAATCATGTGATGTTTGGGAGTGGGCTGAGATGGAATAATTAACACTGTTTCATTTAATCTATTCTTGTGACGAAGTTTATCTGTTTGGATTATTTTTATCTTAAGTACGGATTATTATTGTAGTACGTAAAGAAGTAGGGATTATTTACATGAATTTCAACTTTAAAAAAAAACCTTTGACTTTGCACCCTATTATATAACATTTGTGAAGGAAAATATCTAAATGGGGTGCAAAGTCAAAGGATTTTGAAGTTAAATGGAGTCCAAAATCAAAGTTTTTTTGAAATGCGGTGCAAAATCCAATATCATTCAAAAAGTGGAGTGCAAAATCAAATCCCCCTATTAAAAAGTCCATTTAGGAGTTTTTCATTTTCATTATTATATGAGGTTCAAAAAGTTGGACTACTCTTTTGAGTAGGGGTGGGTTCGTAGAACCGAAAACCGAAAACCGAATTGAATCAAATCAAACCGCGACCAAATAAACCGAACCGATGAAAAACCGAAACCGAACATAAGAAACCGAACCGAACCGAACATGTTTGGTTTCGATTTCGGTTTTGACTCCTCAAAACCGAACCGAACCGAAAAAACCGAAATATTTAAAAATATAAAAAAATCATTTATTTTATATGGAGTATATGGCCGGTCATGTGGTCAACGCTCAAGACCGAAAGCGTAAGAGGCTTACGAGTCCAGTACTCCATAATCTTTTAACCTAAAATGCAAGAGGCTTAGCTCTCGAAAAAAGGAGCCGCCGTCGAAGACATGGTAGATCGATTCAAGATACAACAACAACAACATCCAAGCCTTAGTCTCAAATGAAATTGGGATCGGCTAACATGAATCGATACATGATATCACCACCAAAAGAAAAAGAAAGAAAATGAAGATTAAAAAATAAGCTATTATAAAAAAAGATAATATAAAACGGAATGAATATACATAAAAATGATAAAATTTAAAGGGTAAAAATAATGTTTATATATATAAGGATAAAAGAATAAAAAACACGAAAAAAAGACTAGGGAAAATAATAATAATAATAATAATAATAATAATAATAATATTAATAATATTAATAATAATACGAGATCACTACTCCACACGAATACCCGCCCTCCACTTTGCTCTCTCGATTCAAGATGTGAAGAAAAAAATGAGCGGATCTCCCTTTGGGACTGCATTTTATTTTGATTTCAGTTGGGACTGCATTTTATTTTGCTGCACTATATCCAAGTTTACTATGCTTAACTTTTAAGTGTCACGCACTAATGTTTAGTGCACTTTATTTAAATTGTAAGGCAGGAATTGACTTTCTTCAGTACTTTGTGTTTTATTTTCCTGCACTTTGGTTATTTTGCACAATTGCACGTCATTTCTTTTTTCAGAAAGTATATGTCTTTTGGTTTAAAACCGAAAAAAACCGAAATTGAACCGAACAAAACCGAACCGAATCAACCGTGGTTGGACAAAAAATATGAACAAACCGAACCGAACCGAACCGAAGTTTTTAGTTTGATTCTACATTTGGTTTTAGGTCAAAACCGAACCGCATAAACCGAACCCACCCCTACTTTTGAGTGTTTTTGGGGCAGAACGGAAAATTCCATGTACTCTTTCGGGAAAATTGTCATATAGGTCCTCGAACTTTCATAAAAAAGTCAATTAAGTCCTTCTATAGGAGACTCTGTCCGGCCGTCGCGATTTGGAGCGGTTCCCGGTATTGAGCATCTTATTCATCAAGTCTAGTTTATTCATACCAAATTTCAGCTAAAATTCAATCGGGAACGCGTTCAAATTAATTCGAGAACGCAAAAATGCACAGTTATCTTCAAGAATTAATTTGAATGTGTTCCTGATTGATTTTTTAGCTGAAATTTGGTATGAGTAAGCTAGACTTGATTAATAAGATGCTCAAAAACTTTCATCAAAAAATTCCACCGGGAACTCCCCCAAATCGCGACGGCCGGACAGAACTTCCTATATAAGGACTTAATTGACCTTTGTTTGACAGTTTCCCTACTCTTTTTGTTGCATATTTGCCATTGACATTAAGCAACATTTTCTCCACTAGGCTTGTTCTATCCTCTTGCTTAGTTGCTTTTATTGCCCGTCAATGAGTGCGTGTGTTTTCAGCGGTGGTCGGAAATGCCATACCAACACGCTGCAATTTCTAGTGTTAAAGTGGAGTCGGCGTTTTGAGTGAAATGTTAAGAGCCAAACATAGCCAATGTAAAGAATTACAATTACAATGAGTGTGGGAATTAATTAATTACGTACACACACAAATGTTCATGTCCGGAATTCTGGACAGGAACTACCATCCGGACGGCGCGTTTGACCGTCTTCCCGGTAGAATTTTATAATGAAATTTTTATGTCATGTTCTCCATCAAGTCTAGTTTATCCACACAAAAATTCAGCTAAAAACTCAATTGGGAAGGCCGTCAAATGGTTTTTGGAAGATAACTGCTTTTATATGTTTATTTTTTGAGCAGTTATTTTCTAACAATCATTTGACAACCTTCCCGATTGAGTTTTTAGATGAATTTTTTGTGAATAACTAGACTATATGGTCGATGGAGAACATGTCATAAAAATTTTATCGAAAAATTCCACCGGAAAGGCGTCCAAACGCCTCCGTCAGGGCGGCGGTTCTAGTTAGGAATTCCTGACCGAAAGAGTACTCTACATACACATATGTGTTTTTATAGTTAATTTTGTTACACTTGTCACATTATCATATTAGTTAACCATATTTGTTACATATGGACATTAGCCATATAAAAATTGTTAGGTTAAAATTTTAAAGTAGTTTCATTTTAGTTCATTTTACTACACTTGTCACATTATCATATTAATTAACCATACTAGTTTTTAACCCGTGCGTTGCACGGGAAGACATTTCATTGAAAATGTAAAGATCTGAATGATAATAAAAATATAATTTAAACATTCGAAGTATAGAATTTAACATATAAGTGAAATCGCATATGAAAAAACCTATAAATTGTTATACACTTCTTTGTAAACAACATTTATAGCAGTATTGCTTGGATGACCATCATCGTCACATATGACAAATTTTAACCATGATGGACTTATAACTCTCGATACCGCAACATATAATTGTCCGTGAGTAAAAACCGAACGCCGCAAGAATACACCAACCCTTTCTAACAATTGTCTCTGACTCTTATTAATTGCCATCGCATAACTAAGCATAGGAAATTGTCTGCGCTGAAATGTGAAAGGGAGCTTCAAGTCCGTAGGCATTAAACTAAGTCGGGGAATAAGATACTTTTCACCATCATTTGATCCTGACATCATCTGAGCTCAATAATATGAGTCCCGAGTTTAGTTACCATGAGTCTCGACGGTCTCGTACCATTGCATAACCCGACAATGTGATCTATGTTTCTCATAAGCATCACAGGTACACCCACCTTAAGCTTGAGTTCATGACTTGGTACACCTTAACATTTGATGCTATTAAGAAATTCCGGAGAATGAATGTCCTGAAGGAGCTCACTATCTGATTCAGAGGAAGATGTTGAATCACAACTTAAGTATGTCCTTTCCTCGCCTGGAATGAACCCCAACATGTAATCATTGAGCTTGTCTCGCTCATTAATCGTAGGCGCAAGAATGGCCCTGGAGTTCAGATATGAAATGTCTTCCCTATGAGTCAAGAAACCTGGGTAGGTATTATTAACAATAGACTCAATGGGATCATCCGTCATCGAAGCAAGATATTCGGCAGGTATGTGGACTTTTGATTCCCCTTCCTCACCGTCTCCCAAAATACCATTGCCGGTCTTCAAAATCCAATCTGCAAAGCGCTCTATGTCAGGTGCGCTTGATGATTCGGTATCGTGTGCAAGCCTCATGTTATTTGTCAGTTTCAACACCCTACAATATAACCACAAATACGATGAATCTAAAGACGCTTGGACAATTGCAGCGTGCTTTTTGGAATGATCGACAATATCTGTCAGAAGTCCCCGCCAAATACTATAGTTTTTCCGCCGAAAGGCACATCACCATCACACTCCGTCGAAAAGCGTAGGACATCTCTCATAGTGCGTTCTAGAGCTTCAAAAGAGTGCTTATGCGTCATTGGAGACTCATCCCAAATAATTAGTCATGTCTGTTCAAGAAGCCTAGCAAAGGGACTACCGTATTTTATGTTGCACGTTGAGTCCTCCATCACATTAAGGGAGTGTTTGCAATTGCTTCAACTTTAAAAAAGTGATTTTTTAAACTGATTCTGGGAAAAGTGATTAATAGTAAAAGTTGGTAGTGTTTAAGAAAAAAGTGATTGTGAAAAAGTAAAAGTTGGTAGTGTTTGGTAACATAAGTACTTTTTGTGTAATAGAAAAAGTGAGAAGCAGTTTAAAGCACCCTTCTACCTGCTTCCAGCTTTTAGCTTTTAAGTGATTAATTTAAGCAGAAACTGTCATTTGAAAACACTCTTTTCAACTTTTTTTAAGCCAAAAGCTGAAAAGCATTTTTTTTAAGTAACCCCAAACACTCCTTAAATGTTGTACAAACTTCAAGGCAAGTTTCCACTGCTCTTTCAAAGAGTCTACTATTGCTATTGATATAAGGGGAATAATGAAAAATCATCACTAAATATCTAGGTGATTAAACAAAGCTTCCATGATCATCTTGAAATTTTCTCAAATTAGAAAAGTCTACTACACACTGATTTATTGTGCACACATGAATATAATGCATCAACAAATAAGCACACACAATAATCACAATTTACAGAATCAATCAATCCTTAGGGATTGTGAACCAACCCCTGTATTCCTGTAATGATCCTGCAACAATACCCTCTTCTTGCTCAGAACTCCTTTAAAGTTCATGCTCAGAACTCAAGAATATAAAATGAGAACAGAGGGGGTTACATGTAATCTTTTATAAGATTTTCCCTTTTTTATTTTTCTGTGTGGTTTATAAAACCTTTGTTTAAGAAATGTACAGTTCAAATTTTGTTAAACCATATAAAGGTGAAATAGCATAAACATTGGAGGCTAATATCAGTAAGAGTTTGTACTAACTGGCGTGACCCTTGCTATATGATAACATCAACAGTGTTTCTACAATTCTACCATACATAGGATCCATGGTCAAAGATTGATGCAGTATCTAAAGGAATAGTACACATAAATATAGAAATGAACATATCCATAAAGCACAGAGGCAGCTAAATATGGCCTTGCTCATGGTGGTAGTGAAGCCATTTTCTGGTTTCCTACCAAGATTTCTCTTTTCCTCTTCATAGTAACAACTTTTCTCTTTTTGGTGCCCTCCCCGTATTTTATGTATCATACGATGGTGTGGAATAGGGCTGGACTCGGACCGGTTCGGGCCCGGTTCGGGCCTGGGCCCGGCCAGGCCTCGGGCCAGGAAACTAGGGCCCGAGCCCGAACCGCCGGTGGCCAGTTCCGAGTCCGGTTCCGGGCCAAACCGGGCCGGGCCAAACCGGTTTGTATATTTCTTTTTTTGGTTCTTCTATTTAACCCCCAACCCCTCCCCCCCAAACCACCTCAAATGGCCCAAAATACCTAATCCAATCCAAAACCTAAAAAAAATTTCAGAAAAAAAAATAAATTAAATTCCGGACCGGACCGGGCCCGAACCGGCCGGGCCGGTTCACCAAAATCAGGGCCCACGCCCGGAACCGGTACCCACCAGGCCGGTTCGACCCGAACCGCCGGTGGACCGGGCCACCGGGCCGGGCCGGTTCCAATAGTAGCCGGGCCGGGCCGATTCCGGGTCGGGCCGCACGGCCCGAGTCCTGGCCTAGTGTGGAATCCGAAATACGTAGTAATACTTTTCAAGCAGCAAAAACAGTTGGGTTTATCTGTACTCGTAATTTGCGTCTATTGAAGCAACTCAATGAAATCTGACTCAACAAGAATAATCCCACCTTTCAATCATGTTGAGTCAGATTTCATTGAGTTGTGGTGACCTTCAATCAGGAGTGGTGGTGACCTCCGTTACTTGGTTCAAGTCCAGACATTTACATTAAGATTTTCCTAATCCGTAGATTTTTATCATCATTTTTTAAACGGCTGCTTGTATTTTTGTTCGGATGTGAATGACTGCTTGTATCATCTGCTTATGTCCCTGCTTCTCTCATCAGGGTTGCCGAGCTGCAAAGAAAAAGAAAAGGTAAATGAAAGAAAATGTAAAAAAGCTTATGAAGGTTGTCAATTAAATCAGCTCAAAGAGAATAACCATAAAATCAATCCATATACACAAACCATCCATTCAAAAATTATGAAACATTATAACAAAATATAACTTTGATATTGAAACAGTCCATGAATATTCATTTCGATTCAGGAGTGACCCTCTCCATGAAAGATGGATTGAACTCAATCCTCTCTAGCCCTCTAATAGCATCATGTTTCCGGAATGAATTTGGAGGAATTAACAAAGACAAACAAAATTTAAAACAAACAGCAAAAAAGAAAAAAAGAATAAAAAACATGAAGATTTGAGAAGAATTATGGATAGGGATGAATGTGATTCAGGGTTTCGGTCAATTTGAGGTGTAGAAGGAACTGGAAAATGAAGGGAAGTTAGAAACCGTAAATGAGGTGCAATAAAATTGGACAGATAAAAATGAGAGGCAGGTGAGCGGGAAATGTTTTTCTGGAATTGTAGTGCTATTAAGGAGAGAATATCATAAGGGAAGAGGACCTACCCAAGCATACCACTTTCATTTCCCCATTTTGTTTTATATGCTTGATCCTGTTCTTAGTACTTAAAGTGAGTTCCAAATATGGATTGTAACCATCCTGTATAAATAAGAGACAATTCCATTAAAATCAATATTTTTGTCATGAGCAAGATTAACAATTGTACTTTTTGCAATCTCAATCAAGTAAACTGAAGTAATAATTAGAGAAACAATATAAGAGATTTACTACATACCATATTCACAACTCTTGAAACTTGAAAGTAATAATAATTGACTGTAAATGAGTGTTTAAAATTATATATGATGCTTAAGTATAAAAACTGAAGTACTGACCTCCTCTTAGCCCCTAAGCAATTTTTAGCAAAAGTTGTATGCAGATTTTAAAACAAAAGTTGATAAATTTGTATGCAGATTTTTTTCTTCTCTAATTTTCAACCTGGAAAAACATAAAACACCATCATGAGAGATATTGCACAGAGTAAGATAATACATTTAATGAATCTGAAAAAATCTTTTATGCTCCTCGACATTGCCTTTCCTTCTAAGTTTATCTATAATTAATCCCCCCCTACTTTTTCTCTAAGCCGTTCTTCCAGGGATTTCATTCCTCCCAGTCAAAGAATTGAATGAGTTATCCTCAAAAGTTATTTGGAAAATCAGAAAATGAAGTGAAGTTGAATGAGACAGCATTTTTTAGTAATGCAGAGAACTACATAATGAAAGTTTTTAACTTTGAGTAAAAATCCTTTGATTTAGTTTTATTGTGGTGAACTACATATGTAGATTTCAAATATGATGACTTGAATTATCTGCCTCAGGGTCCCCTACCCCTCTGTGCTAGGACACATGAACAAAAGAAAATGAGAGCAAAAGAAGTAGAATAAATTAAGCACCAGAAAAGAAATTCGGTTCTACCTGCCTACCTCATCCCTGCAAAGCAGAAAAATGATGTAGTCCATAAGTTTCAGAAAAATGGAAATGAAAATCACTTTATCTCTCAACCAAGTATGTTGATCTATAATTTTTTCAAGAATAAGTTCAAGGATATTTGTGATTATTAACTTGACCATCCATAACCCTTATGGTGCAAAACACATCTAGCTGAATTGAATTGTTGCAATTGAGGTTCATAATAAACAAAATGCATATCCAAATGCAGCAGCTAAAGTTTCTACACACTCACAGATGTAAGAAAGTCAAAGTAACTAAACTTAATTCAACTTTAAGATCAGGAGAAATTGAGGAAGACACATGCATACCATCCTCGGCTCTTTTGACTTGAATATATCTGACTAAGGATTGTTATCATTTTTTCTATTCCGTAAGAACTTGCTGCATTTAAATACCAACCTCTAAATGATGATATTGGGCATAGGAAAGGATTATACTACTTCGTATTATATAGACTGTAGAGTAGGTGTGTGGCAGCTCTTATACATTTTTCTCGATGAGTATAATACAGAGCATGACTCTAGCCTTTTAATTTGAGATAAACCCTATATTTTTTTTTCTGATGAGAAAGAACTGAGCTGCTGATACTGTGAGGATGCTAAAATGAACTCCAGGTATCTAACTGGGAACTCCCCCTGAAGTAATCAAGTTAAAATCTGGTTTGTAATCTAAAGTTGGTTTGTACTCCGTATATTTTTTTCTTGACCTCAACATGAGCAAGGAGCATATTAATTTTCTCAAAGCCCACTATCCAAATTGAAAATCAATTGATGTATGCCTATTCTTGACCATTCATGACTCTTACGAAGCATAATATATCTGACTCAGCTAAGTTCTTGCAATTGAAATTCATGATAAACAAAATATATATCCAAATCACCAAATGCAACTTGAGTTTCTACACTCACATGTGTAAGCAAGTCAAAATAACTAAACCTGGTCCAATGCCTACACGTACACTACAAAATTAAATATGTTGACAATTCAATTCGGTGTGGAAGGTGATGTTATCACACATTAAATATAATTTAAAAAGCCCCCCAAAATGATGCTATGAGTAAACCCAAAAAAATAAGAAATATGCTGATAATCAATTCAATTCAGTGTGGAAGGTGATGTTATCACAAATTAAATATAATTCATTTGAAATACATAACTGAAAATTAAGAATGGGATGAATACATTCAAAGAAAAGTGATAGGCTCTTAAGAAAGAAGACTAAAACGCGAATCGGATCATAGATTTTAGAACTGAAATAGAAAGAGGAGTATGATTACCATTCTTGAGGAAAAGTTGGATGATTACCGGTCGGTCTGTTTCTCGGAGACGGCGGATTAGGTGAGCGGCCATAGCGGTACCCAAACAGCAGCGTCCATTTTTTAATGTGAAGGGATGAAATGAGTGAAGGAATTTCAGGTGTTGGGGGCGTTGTGAGATGTAGAAGGAACCAAGAGCATCCATAGTTCTGGCAGGAGGGAGCAACACCGTAATTCAGATTTGAGAAGAATTATGGATAGGGATGAATGTGATTCATGGTTTCGGTCGATTTGAGGTGGAGAAGAACATAAAAATGAAGGGAATTTGGGAACCGTAGATGAGATGCAATAAAATCGGACGAATGAAAATGAGAAGCCGGTGAGCGGGAAATGTGTTTTTAGAATTGTAGTGCTATTAAGGAGAGGATTAAGGAGAGGATTCAGATTTGAGAAGAATTATGGATAGGGATGAATGTGATTCATGATTTCGGTCGATTTGAGGTGGAGAAGAACATAAAAATGAAGGGAATTTGGGAACCGTAGATGAGGTGCAATAAAATCGGACGAATGAAAATGAGAAGCGGGTGAGCGGGAAATGTGTTTCTAGAATTGTAGTGCTATTAAGGAGAGGATTTGTTACTCCGTACATACTAATATTGATCATATGAAAAAAAGTTAGATTAAAATTTTAAAGTAGTTGTATTTTAAAAGAATATGTTAACTATATTATAAACTCAGCTAAGATTTGACACTATGGGGAAAAATGCAAAGTTTTCGATTTTTTTAATAACCCAACTCTAACTTTTAGTCATGTTTAGCCCAACCTGACCAAGTACCTGTAGGGGTGGACTCGGGTCAGGCCACCCGGCCTGCAACCAGCCCGCAACCGGTACTGTTTGGGCCCAGCCCGGCACGGTACCTGGTCTTAGGGCCAATCCGGGCCGCACGAACCGGGAATTAAACGGGGCGGGCTTGTGCCTCCTAAAAGTGGAACCGGCCCGGACATTGAGCCCGGTCCGGGCCTTCTTTTTCCTATTTTTTGTTTCTCCCGAGTTGGGTTGGGGTGAGGTGGGGGGGTTTATTAGAAAAGCAAAAGAAAATAAAAAAAATTAACATTGAACCGGCCCAGCCCGGCCCGGAAGCACTGCCTACACGGGCCGGTTCCGGACTTCCGGTTCTCCCTTCCCAAAAAAAAAGCCCGTCCGGGCCCAGGCCCGAACCGGAATCGGCCCGGGTCCATCCCTAGTTACCCGGCTCCTACCCGGGCCGGTACCGGGACTAACATTTTTGGGCCAAAACCCTAACCCAGCCTGTAGCCCACCCGCTTGCCCGAAGCCGGCCCCGAACCAACCAGGTCCACCCCTACGGCCCTACCTAAAAGGGGCAACACAAGAAAGAGGAAACATGTCAACTAAAAAGAATTACTTCATATTGTACCAGAAAGGTTTCACTCAATGATCTGGTAGAGTATTTGTTTGCGGCATGCCGGCATATAACAAAAACACACTAAATCCATAGAAAACAGACAAGTTTATGACAGCGGTAGAAATTTGGAAACAACAAAAGGTGTAAAAAGGAAAGTACAAATCCCTAACCACCAAGTTCCATGTTGTTTCTGTCCAAACAGACAACTGTTTCTGGAGTATCCGTCCTCCGTCCATCAAGTGAGTAATAGGCGAGCATATGGGAAGAATGGTCAATGGACGCGGGCTCAATACCTCCAAACACATCCATGACCCCTCCTCTTGCAGGAATGACCCCAATGTTCCAAAAAGGACGGGCCATGCGCAACAGATCCTGACCGATAGAACCGATTGAAGACGAATTGAACCCTTCAACCCACAAATACCGCAGAGATGTCATCCTCGATGAAGCCATAGCAAGAGCCCGTTCGCTAAAGAAACAGCCCCTCATTTCAAGCTTCTGCAGGCTCAGGCACGGGCATCCTTCTGAGAACTGTAGAAGCCCCTCGTCTGATTCCCCAACATAGCCAAGAAACATCCACCTCACATTCGGGCTATACTGTCCCACATAATTCAATCCCTTATCAGTTAACCCACCTGACCGGAGATACAAGGCGAACCTTATAAGCGAAGGGCAACCCCTTAACAAAGAGCGCACCCCTTTATCTAGCGGGAAGTCCGTTATCCTTTCTCCACGATCAAGAAGAACCAAACGGAAATCAGATAGATGTTTCAAGTGCTTGCCAATGTAACGAAGGGCTTGGTTTGTGATGTCTGATACATAAACCGCGAGATATTGGAGTTCAAGACAACCTTGCGATAAGGCAACAAGTCCTCTTTGTGTGAGAGAACCCTCTTCATCCTCCATTCCTTGTTCGTCTTCATCCTCCATTCCTAGCTCGTCTTCATCTCCTCCTCTCTCAATCCTCAGCCTCTTCAACTTCTTGCAAAAGCGGGAAAGAACTTCTAATCCTCGGTCTCCTATTACATTTGTTGCCTGTTCATAAAGTTGTTGTGCTTTAAAAATCATTTACAAAAAAGGGAGGAGGGACCAAGCAGTTCCTGTGATTGTAAATTCATAATATACCCTAAGACTTTAGAAGGAAACCACAAATAGTATACACTTCCTTAAAAAAAATAAAGAAGGCCATGTACATGGACAGTTTGGGACTATAAAATTCAATTCAAGTTAAGGATAAAACACAAGCATTTCAAAAGTATTATGATTAAGCCAAGCATTCCCTGTATAGAAAAAATTTATAGAAAGCAGACTTCAAAAGAAAACAGCTGTCGCGTAACCCCGCCCTTCTCAAATAACTATCCATTAAGGGAACAATATACCCTCTTATTGATTTCTAAGTATCAAAGGTAGCAACAATTGCGAAATTAAAACATTATCAGGTTGCATTCATCATAAACAAGAGGATAGACAAACAACATAAAATAACCAAGTTGCATTTAATAGACACAAAGCTGAGATTCAAACTAACCTCTAAAATTTCCAAATTCACACACTTTTCCAGTAAGGTGCAGTGACCTTGAGTGTCAAATTCTGCATATAGAAGATCCAACTTTCTAAGACGGGAACAGATAGGGAAGAGAATTGGCATTTCATTTATTCTGAAATATGTCAGCCCGAGAGAACACAGCCTGGGAGGAAACGCGAAATCAGCATACTGCATGTTTTCACCAATGGGACCCAGTACGTGGACAAAACCGCCTGCAAATTCTTCTAATGCAGTTGCTGCCCGAAAGAAGCCAAAATGGGAAGACATGTCAGATTGAGAGACTTTCATTGACACAAGGCGTGGACAATTCCTGGCTATCAATTCAATGTCTTCGGGTCTGAAATCCCAGAGATCTGTCTTGTAAAAGTTGAGATTTTCAAGAACACTGTTGTTCACCGCAAGCTCATGAAGCCATTCCCCCCTATCTTTCTGAAGTATTTTGCTTTCTTCTAGAACAAATGTGCTTAAGTTCCTTTGAGAAAAGGTGAGCAAGAAAAAACACATATAAGTCATTTTAGATTTTATTTTTAACTACGACGAGTTCCCTGGATTTCAAAATCGAAAGGGAAAAAAGGAAAATACATATGCAACAACCAGTAATATAAAGAATAATCAGTAAACGTTTCTAATTACAGGAATTAATGAGAAGCCCATACATTTATGGAAAATGCTGTTGGTCAATCACTATCATTACTTTTTCTAAAAGTGACACAAAATAGATACGCTTATGTAACATTTTCGTAAGTGTTAATTGTACTTATAGCAAGACTGAGATTAAATACCTGAATATTCCGTTTTAGTAAAGAGACTAGCTCAACTAAATCCAACAACCCACACAACCTAAAGAGCCTTTTTAGAATATACAGATCAAGAAATTTACACTAAAGAGCGAAGGTGTTAAAGTACCAAGAGAAAAGTCAAAGGATCAAAATTACAACCAATAATCTCTGATCCATTAATTATGCTAATTGAAGACAATTGTCACCCTTTGTGAAGGAAACCAACCCACACACCAACACCGCATTTTCAGCACTTAGAACAAAAAATTGCACTATAGCACCAAGAAAAAATTGAAAGGTAAGTAAAACATCTAAAACAATTAGCACCACAATTACAACTAGTAATGAATTCACATAGAGAAAATAATTAGTAATCACTAATCCAGCAATTTTTTCTAATTATAAGAATTCATGAAAACCCTGTCCAATTTTACCAATATCTAGAACAAAAAACTAAACCCCATCCCGACCCTCCACCTCCGAACTTTCCCTCACAGTCGTTACACAAAAAATCCAAAACTGAAAGAAGAGGAAACACCATTTGGCCAAATTAAAGCCTACAGAGTAGAATTCAAAGAAGATGTAACTAGGAAAAAAAACTTGGAAACAATTATATTTTGCTAATTGTACTCATTTATTGCAATCCTAGGCAATAAGTTTAATATCCCCCTTTAGTGGCAATGAAACTAACCCCAGCCCCACCCCTAACCCACCCAAACAGCCTAAAAAGAATTGTAAAGAAGAAGATTTGATATAGGGCCAAGAAACCAACGACCCATACTTAAATAATGGCAATTAAAAGGAGAAAGACCTTTTAAGGCATTAGTATTATTATAATCAGAAATTCAATAAGTTTTGCTAATTATAGAAATATATGTAAAACCTAGACAATTAGTTCAATAATGCCCCTCGTACAAAGAAACTAATCCCACCCAAGTCCCAAACCAAAAAGACTTCGTAGCATTTACAAAACAATAGCTTACACTACAGAACCAGGAAACTGAAGAGCCGTAATCACTAATCTCACCAATGGGCTAATCCAGTCATATTTGCTAGTTATAGCAATTTATGGAAATCCTAGACAAGTATCCCCACCTTGGTAAAGAAACTAACCACTCACAAGTCACACCTCACCAAAACAGACTTAAAAGAATTTCACAGAACAAGAAGTCGTACTAAAGTACCAAGAAACTAAACATGCACACTATAGGAATTTGTAGAACAACAAATTTCACTTAAGGGAACAAAAAAGTAAATCTTTCTTTTACTTGCAGGATTGGCAAATCTTCAACAGACCATCCGTGGAGAATCCAGAGCACTTGTCTATCTTGAGAGACTGAAGAAGCAAGCCGCGCGAGCGAGCCAGATTATTCAGATCGGAATCGGTGACAATCATTCTGCGGAAGTGGAGAGCCTTTAATTGTCTCAAGGACTCGTGACCGCCTTCAGGTGTAGCGCGGGCGATTTCTTCTACCCAGGGGCGGCTTGACCGCCCCAGTCTTCCTCTGTGAGGCTTTTGTTTAACGTCATGACGTAATCGAGCGGGCCTTCCGGTATACTGAGCTTGCCCTTGAACATGGTGGCGCGTGGCTTTCCATTGAGCTTGAGCGACTCCAAGTGGGGGAAACGTCTGGATAGACGACTCGGCGTGGCGGTGTAGCTTAACGGCATCGTCACGTGCTTGCGCGTGCCGGCGTCGATGTCGTACCACAGCTTACACACAAGGGACACCGACCCACGGTCTCTCGACTCGTGAATGTAAGGTATCACCAGATCCCACACGGCTTCGTAGACGGCGGCCACTCTTTTCCCTCGGGTGTCCTCCATGTTCGAGATTCAGGAGAAAGATCGGTCGTAGAAAGCGTGAAGAGTGAAACGGCAGACAAACTATTGGAGACCAGGACCCGAACCGGACCCGGTTGTTTTTAACGGGTATGGGTCCTTATTTTATTCCGTTTATCTAGACCCGAACCCGCACCCGTTAGTACTTTTAATAAACGGGTCGAGTATGGTACATATGGTTCCGACCCTTTAAGGACCCGGACCCATTTAAACTTTCTTATTAGTATACACACACTAATACATAAAGAGATTAGTTATAATACTTCAAATAAAAATACAAACTAATATATATAAACTGATTAGTTTTAATTCTTTGATTAAAAAGAAACAAATTAATACATACCTAATGTATAAGTGATAATATAATAGTACGGAGTATATAATATGCTTTAGTCCAAAAGAACTTTCTGTGATCTAATTTCTAGTCTAATATACGAGTTTTTGTGGCAGAGAAAGAGACACAAAGTGCGGAATTGTACGCATCTACAAGAACCAATATTTTATTGGATAAAAGTACTAATTTTCTATGATAAACCTTGTTTTTTTAAAAGTGAAGATATATTTTGCTTTTAAATTTGTGCACTTTGATTTACATTTCATATACATGTTTTGCTATTTTTAAAAAATTATATTATTATCTGTCAAAAAAAGTTATATAATGTTATGCATATACTTGGCGGGGTCTACCCGACCCGTTGGGTCCGGGTCCAAATTTTTAGACCCGCCGGGTAAACGGATCGGGTCCGAGTCCTTTATTTACTTAGTGGGTCCGGGTCTGGAACACTACGTTCCGACCCGGACCCGACCCCGACCCGACCCATTGACAGGACTACCGCTAGGGTTGGGCTTTGCAACCAACAACGGGAGAATCGAACCAAACCGGATGCTTATGATCCGGTTCGGTTCGGTTCCAAAATTTAGGAAAAATTCACATCAATAATCCAAACTATTAAGGATCTTCTCATATTAATCCCAAGTATACATAATTCTAAATTAATCTAAAATTCATGGGTAATCTTCTCATATTGATCCGCCATGACATGCTACTTACTAAAAAAGTAAACAAATTTAAAAAGAAAAAAAAAAGAAAAAAAGGAAGGAAAGTAAACGCATAGAGGGTGGACGACTCAAGCACAATTGCTTTTGTTTTCCATTCTGATGCACAATTAACGGACAACACACTAATGAGGAAGAAATCAAATTGATTCGGGCTGTATCCATGATTTGAAGATCCAGGATTGCTCTAGCCATGAATTATTCCCCTTTTTTATATTTCTTCATCTTTTTATGTTCTCCATCTACGATTAGGTTTTGGCCATGCTCAGATTTGAATTCTTTCTTTCAATTTCAGACTTGAAAAGTTAATTTGGTCAATCTAAACTGAAATTAGACATTTTTCATCATTGACGATCGATAAAAATTGGATATACGACTGGGACTGAGGGTGACGGAGGGCCGGCACAAAAGAACAACTGGGTAAGGGGAGTGCAGACTCTAATTTTTAGACTAAAAATTCATGAACATTTTTAAGAAGGTGGGCAGCAAGAGCGAAGCAGGCAAGAAGAACAAAAATGGGATGTGGCGAGAATGGACGAGCTGATCGAATGATGATGAGGGAGGGGCGCTCTGTGAAGAGTAAAGAAAAAATCAAAAAGATTAAAAATTGTATAAAGCCAATAGGAACAAGACACGTGGGCAAGGTGACCTGATAACGTGATTCATTCAGATTATGGTTCATTTCAGAAGATGTCCTTTATAGATTAGATTATATTGGAATTACTCATATTCGGGATTAATATTAGAAGAACTCTAATAGGTGAGATTAATGATGTGAATTTTTCCCAAAATTTATTAGTTATTTGATAATGGTATGGTTCTTATTTTTTATTAACGGTTCGGTTCTCGTTTCTCCATTTTTATTTAACTATTTACAATTATTTTTCATTCTAACTCGTTTTGGGGCTTCTTTAGCGAATATCTTGTTTTGTTTTGTTTTCAAAAATTTGCAGTTTGGTATGTATTTATGTTTTAAACTCAACTTTTGATGTATGAAATGATGTTCAGCATATTTGTATTGTAATTTCAATCATTGAATGTCTTTTTGACACAAATTTAACCGTGATTTGTAAGAAATTTTTTAAAGACTAGGAACCGTTAAATGACAAGAACTGAACCGTTAAGAATGGTTTGGTTCCTTATCGGTTCTATAAAATACCCCCTCCGTCCCGCAAAGAAGTTCCTAGTTTGACCTACACACATATTTATGTAATGTAGAATTTTGTTTTGACTTTCCAAGTATACTCCTACTTTATGTCAAATCAAGCAAAAAGTGGGTAAAAGGTAAGGATAATTGTGACTTTTTGGTTAAAAGTTGTTTCCTTTTATAGAAATGAGAACTTTTTTTTGAGACATCCATAAAAGGAAAGTGTGAACTTCTTTGCGGGACGGAGGTAGTAATTTATAAGAATCGAACTGTTAGTAAAGTTTCATATTTTCAAACGGTTCCACATATTTTGTCTGGGAACCGAACCCGTCCCAAACCTATATATGCTATACGGATTGAAGTTGGTATACGGATTGAAGTTGGAAGCTTTTGAGAGCTAAAAATGAAAGATCTCGGATGAGGGACATGTGGTGATCCGGGATTTATTATGATTTTGGAGATTTACAATCGGAGTAAAGTTTTCATTTTTCACTGATTTACTATTGGCTCTGTCGCCTTTTAGCCCTTTTTATTCTTTAATTTGAAGTTTACTGAATTACTCTCTTTGTTAGACGTACTTATTAAGTTATTATTATTAGAGAAAAGGGTCAGATAAAGCCTTCTACTCATAAAAGTGTCACCAACATGTATCTACTTTTACAAAACGACCATATGAGGCATACGACCGGTTTAGAATTGCCTATTCCCGGTTACTGCTTACCTGGCCCCGATTTTAGTAAATCTTTGCCCTCAACAAAAGTCGATCTCCCAAGCAGAAGCTAGGGTTCATATTCAAGGTCGGGTCAAATTCTCCAGAATCAACATGTCTTCAAGTTTGTTCACTTCAAATTCAAGGATGGGTTCAAACCTCTACTACGAACCTGTTGTGTATTGTAATTGTGGATTAAAAGCACCTTTGTGTGTGGGAAGGGAAAGTGGTAAGAAGTTATATGGGTGTCAACGATGGAAAGTAAGATCTATGAGTGCTAAGTATTGGTTCCAACCAGCTGTATGGTTTTTTCGTTTTACGGGATTTTTCTGGATTTTTTAAATATCGGGATTTTTATGGATTTTTCTGGATTTTTCGTTTTATGATTTTTTTTAATTTTTTATACATAGGTGCAGGGAGGATGATGCAAGTTCTTTGCTTGGAAAGAAGAGGTCGATGCTAAATGGGAAAGTTCAGAGTTGAGCTGGGAGGAGGGTAGAAAGTTAATTTTTCAGTTAAGAGATGAAAATTTGAGTGTATGCCATGAAGTCAGTGAGTTACAAGCTGCATTGCAATCTGAAATTCAAAAAAGGAGGAATTGTATAATGTTGATTACAAGTGTAATTGTATTGAGTCAATTCCCTAAATAAGACTAAAAAGTGGCAAAATTGCACAAATAGGAATACATTTTTTACATTCCTTTAATAGGACTATTTATGTGTGTTTGGACAAATATACCCTTGTAGCTTGTGAAATGTTTTAATTAATAATAAAATCACAAAAAATCGAAAAAAAACTAAAATTTGAAATAAAAATAATAGAAAATTAATAAAAAATATTTTTGAAAAAATTAAAATAAAAATCGTAAAATCTAAAAAACAAAACATTGCCACCCCTGCCCCCCTGCCCCCCCCCAGCACCCCCCAGCTCCCATCATCGGGAAAAAAATATGCCAACATTTAAATAATGCCATAGTCATGGCATATTCAATGAAAATGATGGCATATTGAAGAGTAATTATGCCATCTTTTTCGCATTTTCAGAAAAAGATGACATTTTTTTTATCAAAAGTGGAAGAAATTTCACCAACCGGAGGTGCTGGTGCTGGGAGGTGACGGGAGACGGTGGGAAAGGTATCCATTTTTTTCATTTAATTATGGGTTTTTACTATTTTTAATTATTTAAAAAAAATATAAAAAAAAATAAATTTTTTATTTTATAAATATTTTATAAATTTTTTATAATTTTTTTTACGTTTTTAAATATTTTTTACAATTTTTATGATTTTATTATGAATTAAAGCATTTCATTATGTGCTATTTTAGGGTAGAAAATCAATGTTTAGTCCTATTTAGGGATTAAAAGTAGTAGTCCTATTTGTGTTTTTTAGGAACTCATTAGTCTTGTTTAGAACAATTTCGGAATTGTATTTGTTGTGGACTTGTGGTAGCAATGACTATGATGATTTGTGTACTAACGTAGAATTTGTTAAGAATTTTTATGTAGTTCTTGAAATGGCTATGAAGTAATTTTATATAACAATGTAATTTGCAATTTCAGTTTAAACTGGTATGAGACTGCCGGTCTGCCGGCTTCTATTTGCAGCCATAATAGTGAAGGTTACAAACGGTAGTTAAAATTTACGGGTTGCATAATAACAAAAAAGTGCTATGTATTTCAATAAATAAAATAGAGGCTACTAACTTCAACTAGCCTATTTTTTTAGGCTATGTAGCATTTTTTCCCTTTATATAATTAAGCCTTTTATATTTATTTTGTGTGTGCTGATTTATTTACATAAATGTGTATTAAATGTGCATGGAAATGTCATATATTCATGTATTTTGAGTCTCAAAGAAAGAGTTGGTGTAAATAATCAATCTCATATGAACATATTTGATTTATGATGATGCTGTCAATCCATTTGCATGTGCCAAATCGTGGTTGAACTGAAGAGTGCAGTTTTTCTTTGATGAGAGAACTCCAATTCTTCCTTAAGTGATAAGACTGTACCTTCCAACAAGGAGAAGGCAAAGTTGATCAAGAGATGGGCTCCGAACTATGTCATTGAGAATGTCAAGCTTTACAAAAGAAGCTACAATGGGGTGCTACTCAAATGTCTTAGGCCAGAACAAGCGCATCAAGTGATCAAAGAATTACACGAAGGAACCTGTTCATCCCATCAAGGTGCGTTTACCCTTAGTAGGAAAGCTCTTTTGCAAGGATATTTCTGGCCTACGATGATAAGGGATTGCGTGGACTTTGCGAGAAGGTGTGAGGTCTGCCAGAAGTTTCAAACAAACCCAGGCAGACCTGGCACATTGCATCATCCCATCAGTACTGCGATTCCCTTCTCCAAGTGGGGAATAGACCTTCTTGGGCCCTTTCCACCGGGTTCAGGAGGTCGGAAGTTCGTAATAGTGGCAATTGATTACTTCACGGAGTGGATTGAGGCGGAACCAGTGGCCCCAATTACTGCAAAACAATGCAAAAGGTTCGTTTGGAGGAATATATTCTGCCGGTTTGGTGTCCCGATGCAAATTATCACTGATAATGGGAAACAGTTTGACTCTGAGCCATTCGAAGAATTTTGCGAGCAATGGGGAGTTGAGGCTAGCAGGGCATCTGTTGCTTATCCTCAATGCAATGGACAAGCGGAAAACGCGAACAGAACTATTAAAAGGAAGCTGGAGTCAATGGGAACAACTTGGGTGAATGAACCAACATACTTTGGGAATATTAGACTACCCCAAGGAAGGCTACTGGTGAGACACCTTTCTCCTTGACTTATGGATTCGAAGCCCGAGCACCATTAGAGACACTGGTCCCAAGGAAAAGAGTGGAGGATTATAATAACCCTAAGAATAAAGAGGACACGCTCAGGGAAGAATTGCACCTAATTGAGGAAAGGAGGGACAATGCGTTCATCAGGGCTGAAAACTACAGAAGGCAAGTCAAAGAATACCACGATGCGAGGGTCAAACCGAGATTATTTAAGGTCGGTGACTTGGTTCTAAGAAGGAAGTCTGCAAGCAAAACTCTGAAGGGTGGAAAGTTTGCCAAAAATTGGGAAGGGCCTTATAGAGTCAAAGGAATCATTGGCCCCGGGGCTTACAAGTTGTGTACTCACAAAGGAAAACTGATAGAAAGAATGTGGAATTCAGAACATTTGTTGAAATTCTACCAGTAGGTCTGTAACCCCGATTTGAAGTTTATTTATTAAAAGTTTGTTTTCTTTCACGATTGTCCTTATAAAATTGCGAAGGTTCTTTAACCGCCAGAGAGAGAGAGAGAGAGAGAGAGAGAGAGAGGGAGAGAGAGAGAGGGCTACACCTAATTTTGGTACTCGCAAAAGTCGAAGTCAAATTCCAGACTCATCCAAATTCTAGAAGCTCAACTTAGTCTTACCATAAGACGAGAATGAGAATAAAAGATCTTTTTCAAGGTCAAACAGCCTTACAAACAAAACCAAATTTCCTCAAACAGGAAAGGATGGCCTTTTTCAAGGCCAAAACTGATTTACAAAGGGTAAAGGATGAATTAAAGGAATTAACTTTGCACCAGAGAAGCCACCAAGCCTCACCAATTAAAGAGGTTTATCACTAAGGTCTTAGTTACCTAAGGGAATAAAACTCACCTTGTTTCGGTTCAAACAATGAGAACCTATGGGTTAGAATTGGTAAAGCTCTCCAAACTGGTTCAGAAATTAAGAACCCAAGGAAATCAACCTTGACCGGAAAATCAAGGCCGAAAACTATAAGGACAAAAGTGATGAAAAATAAAACTGAGAGCCCGAAACCCAAGTCAGACCTTGAGGTCGTCCCAGGGCTCTCCGATTGCACAATTATAGGGGTAAAGGCCAATTTCCCAGATAATTGACAGAGACAGAAGCCAGCCTCGAAACCAGGGCTAGACAAACCAGATTATGCCTAAGAAAGGTCAAGCAGAGCAGATAACTGGCCCCAAAAAAGACAGGCTAGAATGAAAGTAGTAGCATCACATACATCACAAAGCTTGTCACGCCGCTAGGGTTTTATCTGAGATCCGGTAGCCTCTCAGTACACCGTCCAACCGAATTGGGAAGCATGTCGAAGAGAAAGACAAGGGAGCCCAAGGAGGATACTGTGACCCTCGGACCAAGCATACGCGATGGGGAATTAGTTTTTGGTGTTGCCCACATTTTTTCTTCGTTCAATGATACATTTATACATGTCACTGATTTATCTGGGAGAGAAACTTTGGTCCGTATTACTGGTGGTATGAAAGTGAAGGCTGACCGAGATGAATCATCTCCATACGCAGCTATGCTTGCAGCCCAGGATGTGGCTCAGCGATGCAAGGAACTTGGAATAACTGCTCTTCACATTAAGCTTAGGGCTACTGGAGGTAACAAGACAAAATCTCCAGGTCCAGGTGCCCAATCTGCTCTTAGAGCCCTTGCTCGCTCTGGCATGAAAATTGGTCGCATAGAAGACGTTACTCCGATCCCAACTGATAGCACTCGTCGGAAAAGTGGTAGAAGGGGAAGGAGGCTGTAGGCCCCCTCTTGTGCTTTGTCTGTGAGAAACTTCAAACTGATGAGGAGTTCTTGTTTACTAGTACAATGTTTGGAACTTTTGTAGCTCTCGATGAGAAAACAGGTTAAAGTTGATCGTTTTGAACCTTCGATATCAAACTTGATTTATTTGTTTCCTTGTTGAACTTCTAAATATATCTTTCAATCCTCCTTACTTCAAAAAAAAAAAAAAGTGCAAAGCAAGATGTTTGTTTACAAAACCGCCCCGAGGGTGGAAAACACTACAAGCACGCAGGCTTGGAAAGATGTTTATAGATGGGAAAAATAAGCAGAATTTATAGAACAGGTGCTGAGGCGTCCCCCTAAATGCCACCTAACAACGAACAATCCCTAAATAGCATCACTGGAGCTCTTCTATCCCATGGGCAAGGAAACAGTCTGAGATGCCAGCCTCTTCCCAGTCTCCCTCGTCAAGATAGGCTGGAGGTCGGCAGCCGACTTTGCAGGAATCAGCGCCGTCTCCTTAATGCCCCTGATCAGGCCACTTCTCCTCCCCCTGGAACGGGTTAGATCATAGTCAGATACGGTCATCAAAATACAAGAAAACAGGATGTTAGGTGATAAGTCCGTATTTAGACACGCATTTGATGCGTGTTGGGATCGGATTTTGATGGTTTTCCTAGCTTTAAGGTGTTACAAGTCTCAATTTTAGCTCAAGTTATGTTTAACAGGCGTTGGTTCGAGTTTTGTGTCATTTGGAGTCAAAATCAGGATTTTAGAGTTCAACATCGGCACTTGAGGAGCAATTGGGATGATTCGAGATGCATTCGAGAGTGGATTGAGAGCTTTGGAGGTCACCGGGAGGTTCACGATGAAGATTTGATGACAAAAGAGCTCTAGGATTGGCTATGGGATCAAAAGAAGATAAATGAAGCTGGAAAACGACAATCAGGATGACCTTTGGTCAATCGTTCAAGCATATCTCTTTGTAGGAACAACCAATGGACACGATTCAAGTTGCATAGGAAAGCCAAATTCAAGGGATACAAATCATATGAAGAGATCATTCCGAGAATCTGAGAGGATCAAGGTGAAAACAGATGATGAAGTCAGATGATCTCTGCTGCGATTTCAGAATGACACCTTCCACCATTTTAGTCATATCTCTTGATTGGATGATTCAAATCACATTTAGCAAATTGGGGTGGATAGAGGACTTCATTATCTACAACTTTCATGAAGGAAGTTTTGTCAAATTCGGACTAGACAAAAGGCTGAAGAGCACGGACGCACGACCGTGCGTAAAAGGACGCACGATCGTGCGTAAGAGCCAACAACGCGGCAACTAATCTGCCTGCTACGCACGATCGTGCGTGGAAAGGTACGCACGATCGTGCGTACACCCGAGACGCGGATTTCAGCCCTTTTTTAGTCCCAGTTCAGCCCAAACTCATCTGTTTTCTATAAATAAGACCCCCATACCCATATTTTGATGTTACGAACATTACGGAGAGGCCTAGGGACGAATTTAACACCGTTTTTACGCTATTTTCTTCCAAGACCCTGGGATTATTTGTAAGTTCATCTTTTTAATTAATGACAATTATTTCTATTCATCTCAATTCTGTTGATTCTTCAATTATGAATTGTGAGTAGTTTAATTAGGGATTTGGGGTTGATGAAGGGGTTAATAGTGATTGATGGCTAGATTCTTGTCGGTTTAATTGCATGAATGTCGTTTAATTTGTGTCTGAATAATTTAACTGATATCTCTTGTAACCTAGATGGCCACTAGAATTACAATTGCTGATAGAATAAATTAAGAGAGATCTAATTTGTTTTAGGACACATTCACACACACTTAATCGTTCGCTAAGAGATTAGTAGCGATTAAGGGGCCGTAAGCTCGCTCGTCTTGGCAATAATTTAGGATCCTGTCGCATGAGAGATCAGCCTGGTCCCCTAAATTATTGTATTCTACGCCGCGAGAGCGGTAAGAACTTAGTAATGATTAGCTAGGCTCAATTAAATTAATTTCATGTAATTAAGCCTGATCTGCCAGAAATCTGGTTACCCTGGAATCAATCCCTATTCCCTTCGTCATTAATTAGAGAGAAACCAATCTTTTTATTTTATTGCTCATTAGCATTAGTTTAATTTTCCACCCAATCAAATCTCGCACGACGCATTTATTTTATTTCTTTTTAATCGCTGAATTTAATTAATTCTTGATTCACTTTTGTCCGTCCCTGTGGAGATGATACTCGTACTTACACCACTATATTACAATCTTTTTAAGTGCGAGAAAACACACATTATTAGGGCAAAAGCAGATGTTCCTAACATGGGGAAAGAGTGAGCACCACCTTCCCATCGTCACCCACACGGTGGCCCAACAAATAGGGTGATCCCATGTCAAGGAGACCGGCGGCGTACTCAGTACTCTGATTAAGGAGGGGCACGTCCCATCGACGGATGAACTCTACCCATTTATTAACAAATAGTAGTTCACCGTTTACCAGGGTCACCCATACCCTTGTAAACGCCTTTGGGCAATGAGGCGCGCCTTGTAATTTTTAGACACTGTAGGGATACAAAGCTGAAACGGAAATAGGCAATACTACCTCCGTTCTCTTTTAATTGCAACGTAGGACTTTTTTCACTATTCACAGATTCTACTTTGACTACATTTTATTAATTAATGTATTACGAAATAAATTTTTAAAAAATATTTTTAAATTCCTCTCATAATAAATTTTCAAAATCTGATTTTTTTAATTTTTTTACTAATAGAGAATGAAAGATTTTAACGGTCAAACTTGTGCGTTGGCAAGCGTGAAAAGTGGACTGTTGCAATTAAAAAGGAACGGAGGAAGTATAAAAATAGACAATACAATATTTAGAAAAGACGTACGCTTATTGCGTTAGCCTTATATCGGGCATTGAGACGCGCCACAACTAATAAGGCCGTCTACTGTAGGGTTGTATACGAACCGAATCGAGTCGAATAGTAGGAATTTGTATTTGTATTTGTTTAATTTTTTCAAATACGAATTCGAATTCAAATATGAAACAAATATTAATTTCGATTTGTATTTGTATTTGTTTAACAATACGAATAGTTAACGAATCTTATACGAATATCGAATAGATTTGAGCATAGGTTAAATATTAGTCAAATATCACTTTAAAATAAATTTTCTTATATTTTTTATGTTGTAAATGTAAATTGTGACTTAATATGTGTTTTTTAGAATTTAAATTCAATGGATCGATGCATTTTTAATTGTGCACGATATACTAAAGTGAATCAATTTTATGATTAACAAATATAGATCTATTTCAAACTTTTTGAAATAAACACTAACACACACATATTAGAAATTATACTTATAATATGTGAAATAAGTTAATAATTGTATATATCAAAGTCAGACAACTCTAATTTTATTCTTCGAATCGAATACATAATCATTCGTATTGTGCTTGAAAGACATTTGAACCAAAAATCGGATTTGTATTCGTATTTATACTCTGATTTATTACAAATGGACTTAGAATCTGTATGCATAAATTATGTATATATGAACTACACTTTAGGGTATTGCTATCTTTTAAAAGTTATTCTAGTGTTATTACTATTATTATTATTATTATTATTATTATTATTAATATTATCACTACTATTAATAGAATATATTTGATTAATATTCGAATCGAATACACTGATATTCTTATTTGTATTTGATAACAACTCGAATCAAAATCAATATTCATATTTGTATTTGTATTTGAATTTTCCGAATTCGAATCGTCTTATACGAATTCGAATTGCAAATCGAGCACAAATTATTTGATTCGTTTACAACCCTAGTCTACTGCAGCCCAAAGTAAATTAATTTTTAAAAAAACATACCGTAAATGATTAGTATATAAATTTACGAATAACTAGCGACTTCGGCAACCCTTTGTACTTCCTATTTTGTAAACGACGGTTGTTTTCTTCTCTGAGTCAGAGAAAAACCTTCTGCAACCTTCTCTCTGCTTTTATCCTTTTGTTCACGGTATGGGTTTAATATTTTATTTATTTTATATTTTTATTGAATGATACATGTTGCAACCTTCTGCAACCTTCTCTCTGCTTTCGTTCTTTTGTTTACGGTATGGGTATACATGTGGGCAGGAAAAAGGTACTCCACTACTCCATAGTGAATAAGTTAATGCATGATTATTATAATACTAGTTATATTACTATATAATGCCCAATTTAATTTCTCTCTATACATTAACTTTTGTGATAGAAGACTACTCACTGTGTTACAATTCCAAACTTAAAGGTGAGACTTTAGAGATATATTGTATGCTTTCAAGAGCTTGCAAAACCCCCTCAAAAGTAATTATTTCCTATTAGAAGTGTAATGAACAACATGCTAAACAAGCTAGAATTTGTTAAAAGGAACTCCATTGTTGGGTGTGTTTCGGAAAATAAAGAAAATTTAATTAAAATAAATTAATTAAATAAAATGACTAGATAAAAACAAGAAAGGGGATGAAGCAGAATTAGTGAAAGCTCGTGCTACGCACGATGTCCTTAAAACGTATTTGTTGCCTCCCACAGTGCTAGGAGCGTTGCAACAATAGTTTCCCAGGATACGATGGCTACGAACTAATGTTTGAGCACTCAAACAAAAGTTCCAACGAACGAGAACAAAGGCTGAACACTAAAGGAATTTGCAGATTGCTAGCAGTGTGTTTTTAGAGATGCAAAACGTGCATGGAGTGTATGAATTCGTGTGTTGTTGCAAACCACCTGCCAGCCATTATATATGAGGATTTGTTGTGTGTAAATGGTGAATTAATGGACCTGAACGTTGGACATCAATGACCAGTCCGTTGGGCATTGAATCATCCATGAACTGTCCATTTAACGCTGCATTAAAGGATAAGAACGTTGGGCATTTATTGCTGTAACGGTTCAGAA